TATATATATATATATATATATATATATATGTTATCACTCTGCTAGGCAACGCTTATGGATCTTACGTAACAGAAAACTTCAAAAAACACGAAACACAATGACAAAGATAAAAATGAGATTGACAATAATACTTCGTACCCTTATGAGAAAACATCCAAAAATAATAAAAAAAATAAGATCGATATCGAACCCTTCCACTCGACTGTATTACTTCGTGACTGGCCGCCCTTTGATTCATCGATCGTTTCGTCTTATCTCCCTTTTAGGAAGCTAGAAAGTCGGGTGTCATCAGTCCAACATTTCCGAGCAACACCACCGTGTATTTGTCGCATCACTCGCTTTTATGTAATCGCACCCCTCGCGATGGACCACCCCCTGTTGTTCGATCGTCACGTACATATGCACGCCGGGATCCCACATAGAGATGGAACCCCACTCGACAGCGCCTCCTCATTGGTCCGCTGTCGTGGAACCCACCCACGGTAAGCAAATGGGAGGTATGACGGGCCGCTCCCATCCACCAATGAACGAAGGCATTCTTGCATGATTGATGAGACATCTAAACCGGCGCATCAAACGGCACGTAGGCGTCACTCGAGCGGCATGATGCAACCCCCAACCCCCCCTCTCTCCTCCCTTATCTTGCCGCGAGAGTAGCCCTCCTACAACTCCCAACCACGTTACCTCAACAAAATCCATTCATACCAAATAATAATAATAATAATAATAATACACAATATAAAACTCTTCATCTAAACCATCCAAGTGAATTATCCATTAACGAAAAGAAAATTAAATAAAAAAGGGAATTGGAGCCGCGTATCTTACAATTGCCGCTACACCTTCCCCTACATCACCGGCCGCCGCCTCCCAAAGCAAAAACAAATGGAAGAGGAGCAGCAGTTACTGCTACTCATTGCATCTCTCACCTCAGCCGGAGTGCCTTGCTCGCGTGCATCCAAGGCGAACAGCTCCTCTTCTCCCTCTGTATCTCCCGCCTCCTCTTCCTCGCCTCCATCGACGCCACCTTGTAGTCCACGCTCCGCTGCTGCTGCTGCTTCTGATCTTGCCATCCCGACGTCGCCGCCGCCGCCGCCGCGACCGCAGGGCCCTCCTCCTCCACTGCCTCCTCAGGCAACGCATTCAGATCGGGTATGACTCGATGGTTCTGGTGATGATTTGGCGTTCGACTATAATCGACGGCAGCTGCCTTTGCCTGCCGATGGTCAATCTATTAGTTTCAGGATTAATCCGACCCGTTCACGCACTTGGAAAGGGGAAGAAGGAAGAAAACATCATCCGCACCTCTCGAAGCACGGAGTTGTTGGCTCTCAGCATCTCGATTCGACTTCTATACTCATCTATCACCTGATTCACGAAGATAATGACCAGAAGAGATCAAATACAGAAAGGGATAATCGTATCAATTAAAAGAAAAAGAAAATGGCCGCGAGAAGAGCGGCTACCCTTTTAAGATAAGCTTTGTCGTCTGTTAGCGTGGCGATCTTTTGGCGCTGTTCCTCCACCCACTGTTTCAGATCCAAAAAGAAAAACCCCATCAAGAAAACGTCGCGAATCACAAAGCAGGGAAAGAGAGACTGGGATGTGTTGTTTGTCTGTTTCTTTCACCTCCTTGTGCCGCTTGGGGTTCTTGAACCGCTGCTTGGGTGGAGGCGACGGCGCTGCCGAACTCGGTCTGCCGTCGTCGTCCTCGCCGCCGCTCCCGGGGAACGAAAGCGGCGTCGCCGGGCTGGATGTCGTGGCTTCGACGGCGAAGGCGGACGAGGAGGTCGGGACCTCGCAGCCATCGCCTTCCTCTTTCTCTTCTCCCGGTGGAGGCGGAGGAGGAGCAGGAGATGGGGGGAGAGGAGGGGGTGGGTCGTCCGAGATCGAGCGGCGCCGTCTGGTACCCCACCGGAGGTAGTCGGGCAGGGAAGGCGAAGTGATGCGACGGAGGCGGAGATCGAAGTAGAGGATGGTCTCGGGGAGCCTGCAGAGTATGCGGGCCACCTGCAGCTCCTCCTCCGTAAGACACACCGCCGCCGGCAAAATATCCTCCTCGTCGTCTATGCCCTCCTGGCAGATGGAGGCGGCGGCCGGGGGTGACGAACCTTTGACACGGCTGCGTAAGAGAGACATGGGAGATGAGCAGAGAGAGAGAGAGAGAGAGAGAGAGAGAGAGAAGGGGAGGGGGGGAGCGGTTGCCGCTGATAGAAGAGGGAGAATGAGTACCGAGGGGAGGAGACAAGTGCTTATAACGGGAAATCCACGGCGGGTCACTGCGGTTTCGCCACGTGTCGGATGGACGTCGATAGGTCTCCCCTTCTCTCTAGGGTTTCGTCCATGGATCCAACCCTCTCCTGGCACCCTCCGTCGGCGTCGAGTGCCAAGAAAGAACTCTCCAGGTGTGAAGAATCGGTGGGGCCCGACCTGGGTGTCGCCAGCAGGGACGGCTGGAATTTAGGAAATGCTCTCCCTCCTCGCCGCGCTATGTAGACATCCGTCCGAAAATGTGTTCCACACGCGCACACGCCACGTTCGCCTACCTCGGAGGCAGCAGCAACACGAAGGTGAGTCGATGGAAATTTTGGACGGCTGCGATCGTCCGCATAGGTCGATCGAGCCGTATCAGGTGAATCGAAGGAAAGGGTGGCGGTGGTGGACACGTCAACGATTTCTGTTTTGCCGTCGAACTGGCGACACCGTTCATCAAGCCCGATCGAAACGATTCAAAAGAACAATTTTTCTTGATCGAGTAAATTGTTGTTATATTATTTGTCTGAAAGCCAAACATAACGAACCATGTGGACGAATAGCTAAACGTCACGGCAATGTTCCACGTGATCGCCTATTATCCCACGATGAAGGCTAATTTAGCGTCAAAGGCATCCACCGTACGTTAAAGGATGATCAGGTTTAAGCACGAGTTTTGTGGGTTGCATGTACGTATCAAAATGTAGATTGATCCTTACTCCCCCATCATTTATTATCCAATGAATGCTATTAACGCTGTACGTACGGAGAAACTAGGGGCAAAAATTACGACATACGATAAAATGGGGCCCCTCGATCTTCTCAAAGGCATGGCATTTTTTTTCCTTTAAAAGCCAAGCTGGAGCAGAGTGAGTTACCACCGACAAAATAAAATTATTGAGTAGGAAACTTCCATGTTCATGAAGATTTAATTACCTCTACGATCGTATATAAATCTCGACATTTGAATCCAATCCTAGTCGGGTCCGATCCAATCCGCCAATCAAGTTTTTCCAGGTGTTAGTAGGGAGGTTTCCAAATAACTCTTGGCACCATCCTGATTGTCGACTTGACTTGAGCTTATCCGTTTGTCACCGTACGGATGCGAGGGATAGGATCGGATAGGATGGCGAATCTGTCAAATTCAACCCAAAAAGGACTCAGGTGGTGAAATGATTCAACAACCATAGCATTTGATAAAAAAATATATATATTAACATCAAACAACATAAGTTCAGATAGCCCTTCGTATACAACATAGATCCCAGCAGAAGTATGTGCTTAAATTTAAAGCCAAAAACCTATTTATATAATACATGGTTCAATGCATTTTCCAACTCAAAAGATGTTTTTGATGGGAGCAGTGGGTCATTGGATCAGAGTCATGGAAGATACAAAGGCAACATCACATGCTTTTGAGAGAAAGCAATGCTTCTTCTGTTGCAATCTACGAGTCCTCACTGCAAACAAAACCCACAAATTACAATCTCGCTCATACAAGTCAGATGAAAGAAAATCAAAATGAACAAAATCTTAGCACGAAAAGGAGAAAGAATTTTTCAATACGAGAAGAAGAAAACCAAAAAAAAAATAAACTAAGAGAAATATGCAAGATAAAACATGATGGAAGGAGAAGGGCGTCGGCAGCTTTAGGGCTTGAGAGAGTGGGGGATCACATGGTGGTCATCCCTTTTATAGATGGAAACGAATAGCTTTTCTAGGGATAATCTGTTGGTTTCACGTGACACAAGTCACCTGTCCATTGATGAGCAATAGGCTTGTCTTGGAGCCGAGGATGAGCCCAAACATTAGCTACGTGTGACTCGTAGCCCACTCGTGCTGAGATTGGATGCTTGATTGAGCTCGCCAATCCTGTGATTGGGGGGCATAATGGCCGAAACCTCATGTTACTGCATCGAGTCAATGTAGCAGTCCGTAGTGACCACGTGCTGCATCTACGCGCTTCGCTTGTGCCATTAGACATGTTAGAATAAATATTTGACATGGAACTTTATCTACCTTTGACCGAGTCAAAATGCAGACGACGAGGCCTTGTGATACCAATGCCATCGCGAATGCTTACACTCACGTGAATATCACGTGATAGGCAAACCATTTGGTGGAGCGTAGTACGCGTGCGAGCATCTGCTGCCCCACCAGTCACGTGCCGCTCCCCCAGGAATCCCGCATCAAGTGGCGAACAGCATATGCTTTTCCTAACCCAATGGCGATCTTTTAACCATACGCTAGTTAAGCCGAACCCCGCGTCTCGGCTCCCATCCTCCTCAAACCCTACCTCAAGACGATCACGACACGCGTCCTTATTGGACGGAGCAGATTCGTCCTTAGACTAAATATCTCCTCTCGTCGTTTCTCTATAAGAGAGATGGAACCCTAGACGGAGAAGAGCATAAGCGAGGAGCAGATCGAAGAGGGGTCTGATTTGCTCACCTGAAGTCATAGTCGATCGATTGGAGATGGCCAACCCTCGCGTCTACTTCGAGATGTCCGTCGGCGGCTCACCGGTGGGGCGGATCGTGATGGAGTTGTACGCGGACGTGACGCCGAAGACGGCGGAGAACTTCCGGGCCCTCTGCACGGGCGAGAAGGGGATGGGGCGCTGCGGCAAGCCCCTCCACTACAAGGGTTCCTCCTTCCACCGGGTGATCCCCGGGTTCATGTGCCAGGGCGGTGACTTCACTCGCGGCAACGGCACCGGCGGAGAGTCGATCTACGGGGAGAAGTTCGCCGACGAGAACTTCGTGAAGAAGCACACGGGCCCTGGCGTGCTTTCCATGGCGAACGCCGGGAAGCATACTAACGGGTCGCAGTTCTTCATCTGCACCGCGCAGACCTCGTGGCTCGATGGCAAGCACGTCGTGTTCGGCCGCGTGGTGGAGGGGTTGGAGGTGGTGAAGGCCATCGAAGCGGTGGGATCGCAAAGCGGCACCACCAAGAAGACCGTCGTCGTCGCCGACTGCGGTCAGCTGTCTTAGGAGGATGTAGAGGAGCGCATCCCGATCTGTTGGTCTTCGTCGTCGTCCTCGTCTGGAGTGGTGGTCGTCGTAGGAATAATCGACGGTTCACGCCTCTGTGGCCGTCGATCCGGAGTCGTCGTGTGTCGTCATAACTATCCATGTTTAGGTTTCTTGTCATTATCGTCAGCAGGAGCCACCATTGTCATCGTTTGGCTGTCCGCACCGCGTTGCTTTTGTCTTCCCTTTCATGTGTATCACGGAGTTATCCATATCTCTGATCAATAAAATTAGGATTGTTACCAAGATGTCGAATTCGTGACATTGAGATACGTGCGGATATGTTTCTTTATTTAATCAAACGGCTCAGAATGAAAAAAGGACGATGGGCGTTTGTTTCAAGAAAGTGGTGGAAGGACAGCCTCTTGGTCAGGCATCTGTCCTTGAGGGATGGTTGTGAGCAATAATGGCCCTTGGTCGTGAGATTCTGTGGTGATATATCTTTTTCGGGTGGGGTAGGATTGGCTTTAGAAGGCTGCATGTAGCCGCGGCTGCCAATGGAGACACACCATTGCTTTTTCAAAATAGATTCACTGTTGCTGATTCAAATCAAGTTCTGCCCGCTTGGACCGGGCCGAGCCACCTTCTGCCCGTTTGGGCTAGCCCGACCAGGTCCGGTCCATCAGGACTGGAGTGACCCCGGTCTGCGTTTGGGCTGTCATGCGTCGGCTTAGTAACCTTGGCTGTCTGGGTCACCCGAGCCGAGCTGCACCCGCGTTTGTCTGGGCCTACCATGCCTTATGAGTCGCGCCATGCACATCCTTTCAATCGAATCCTTTCTCAAGTTGATACTTGGGGGCGGAATCTTCGTGGTACAGAAAGGTGCAATGGATTGGGGCAAAATTAGGCATTAATGTCTGTGGGCATGATAAGCCAATCCACTTGCGCAATACCGTCGACAGTAAAAAGCACGCAGAGCGGATTCAATCACACCTCTGATCCGATTCAGTGGATGTACTGACACGGACCCTCGAGCACACCGATCAAGAGATCATGCCGCTTGTGATCGAATCTTGACCGTCTAAGATTCTCTTCCCTCTTCCATCTGTTCCTATATAATTAACCGACCGGGTCGAATTCGAATCATCTGGTGGATGATGTCGTCGCTGTCGCTCGCCTGCCCCAAATCGTTCCTCCGGAGCCCCTCCCTCCCTCGCCGCCGGCCCCCGAGCTGCTCCGTCGCCGTCGGCTCCTCGTCCGCGACGCTCTACGATGTGCTCGGCGTCGCGGCCGACGCTACGGGCGTTGAGATCAAGGTGGCGTACCGGAGGCTCGCCCGGTCGTGCCACCCGGACGTGGTGGCGGCCCAGGGGAAGGGCGCGTCGGCAGCGGACGAGTTCATGCGCGTCCGCGCGGCCTACGAGATCCTCTCAGACCCAGAGAAGCGCGTCGACTACGACCGAAGGGTTAAGGCGGTGGTGTTCTCTGCGCTGAGGACGTCTTGGTGCTCCTCCCAGGACCGCCGCCCACGGACATGGGAGACGGACCAGTGCTGGTAGCAGAAGAAGAGCTGGATCTCAAACCATTGAGCCCCTTATTCTTCCTTGTTATGTACATATCTTCAAGGGTGTTGACAGGTACTGAAAATTTGTGATGCCTTGTATATGCTTGATGAGAAGCCTGTGAAAGATCGTTTCATCACATTTGTTTCTCTTTGTAGCACAGCCTTCTCTCATCACGCAACATAGTAAGGAGGCATCGTTTAACTGTAAATTCTGACTCAATAGATAGAAAAGAAAGAGATAAAACTCTGAAAGAAAGGAATAATAGAAGGGGCAAATTCTGAAACCTGGGGGCGGTCACTCTCATCGTCCCTTGGCCACTGGGGACATGCAAAAGACAGCGTGATCAAGTCGTTGATCGGCCGTCCCCTTCCAATTGGCTGTGACTCTTCTTACTGGATTTTTTTAATGATTATAATATGTTATGCAAGTAGCAATTAAACATTATTTCTTCCCACACGTTGTGGCTGATTGGAGCCACGGCGGCATGGTCTAGAATCAATCAAATCCGTTTCAATCAAAAAATTTTAAATAAATAATTAAAAAATATATGTATTAAATTAAATTTGATTTTTTTAATTCTTGATGATGTTTTATGAATCGATTCACATAATGGGTTTAACATAAGAAATGTACTATGGAATCAAATCATATGCAAATAAGTTCATCAAGATGTACTATCAACCCATAAGAATTAGATAATTATTTTATTAAGAGAGAAAGAAGGTTATTTAGAACGTTTATAAAAAAAAGAAACATAAAATGTGATGATGTCATGAGTATCGTCGACTGATGAGTCACTATCGAAGGTGCATGTTCTCTTATGTTTTCGTTCGTGTTAATGTGAGAGTGTTGATGTGGCAAACCGACATAGGAGGTCCGCAAGGGAGGTGATTCATTAGGATCGATCTGACTTTGAAGCGGTGAGATCAGGTAGAGGAACTGAGATATGCTTGGCTGTAAGGTCTTCTCTTTGAACGGAAGGGTTGTCCTCCGGTCGAAGGGTTGCCTTCTTGCAGCAGAGTCGTCTCTAAACTACCAGTGGTCCTACACAACAGGTTTGTGTCGAGGGCTTTCCAGCTCAACCCATCCGATGCTTAAGTTAGCCAAAGGCAAAAGGGGTGGAAGACAACAGTGTCGACCATATAAATAAGAAAGTACAGAGGCTATTACTTGTTAGCATCCATCGATATTTCATGCGAGAGGTTCGTATGTTATAGGGCGACTATTTTGATCTCATGTTGTGCGGGACTATTTCCTCACTTTTTTGTGTCGTTTCATGCGATTTCAAGCGACGTAGATTCTGCTTTCGCCGCTTCTAAGCCAGGTGGCATCGCTTCAGGACACAACCATTTCTAAGTTGGGCATTGTCATTTCATACCGCTTTGAGACGTGTGCATGACTTCAGCTAGGAGGTTCCATGTGGGGTCTAAGGTGGCTGCTAACTGGGTGATACCAGAATATCCTCTATCATTCCCCCCACCATAGAGGTGTACCACGTGTTTCTAGTAGGGGGATTTGAGGTATATATTTTGTGCGTTTTTCTTAATGGCTTCATTGCTTTTTTGTCGAAAAAACATATTAGCTCGATCGAGGTGTAGATCTCGATTCTTCATGTTGAGTGCACTACTAAAGAGCACGTAGGCTCGGTCTAGGTGCAAGCCTTCGGTCTTCACATCAAGTGCACGACTAGGGAACACGTAAGCTCGACCTTGGTGTAGATCTCAGGTTTTCATGTCAAAGTGTATGAACTTGGGAGCACGTATGCTTGATTGAGGTGCAGGCCTCGGGTCTTCGTACCGAGTGCACGATTAAGGAGCACATAAGCTCAGCCTAGGAACAAACATCGGGTCTTCATGCTGAGATGCATGGATAGGGAGCTCTAAAAAAAATCTATAATTTAGATGGCAACTATACATACAAATATAATTAAGACAATCATCATTTGAAAACTCTACTTGGTTTATCTTGAATGAATAAAATTGTTAAGGTTCACATACATAAGTGACTTTAAGGAAGAACATACATCACAGTATATTTTTTTCTTGATAGAAAAAAAGACGAGTATTATAGTAACAAAAGCCATCTCATCCACGAGCTTAGACTTTATGATTTAGCTGCTCTTGACATTTAATCCGATATTATAGCATACGATCCTATAATTAGGTTACTCGTCCAACACCGTCCGTTTTCTTTGATCTTCCCGCCATATCATGATGCTGGTCGATGGGCCTCTTGCTTCCCCGCTAAATAAAACCTAGCTGATCCGACAGTCTGTGTTCCAGATAGCTTCCTGATTGACCGTTCGATTTCGTTTCCCCCTCCCGTTGCTCGCCCAAAGCTACGACGCCTCCATAAGTATCGACCAAAGGGGGGGAGGGAAAACGTGACGCTTCCTTTCTACTGTGTTAGGGTTAGGGTTCCTCTGGTTCGGATGGCGCAGGCGGACGGGCGATCGAGGGGCACGGTTAAGTGGTTCAACAGCACCAAGGGGTTCGGCTTCATCTCGCCGGACGACGGCGGGGAGGACGTCTTCGTCCACCAGTCGTCCATCAAGGCAGAGGGCTTTCGTACCCTCGCCGAGGGGGAGGTCGTCGAGTTCTTGATCACCGAGGGCGATGACGGCCGCGCCAAGGCAGTCGACGTCACCGGGCCCGACGGATCCAACGTCCAGGGCGGCGGCGGTGGCGGTGGCGGCCGAAGGGACGGGTATGGCGGCGGACGCGGCAGTGGCGCGCGCGGCGGGGTGTATGGTGGAGGATACGGGTTTAATGGTGGAGGATGGGGAGGTGGATGGAGGGGAAGGGGTGGCGGTGGGTTCGGTGGCGGTGGAGCTTGCTATAATTGCGGTGAGTCTGGGCATATTGCTAAGGATTGCTACCAGGGAGGAAGCGGCGGCGGCGGCGGTGGCGGCGGTGTTTGCTTTAGCTGTGGTGAGATGGGTCATCTCGCTAGGGATTGCTACCAGGCTAGCGGAGGCGGGGGCGGAGGAGTCAGGTATGGCGGGGGTGGCAGTGGTACTGACCGATCCTGTTTTAATTGTGGCGAGATGGGGCACTTCGCCCGGGAATGCCCTGCCAAGAACTGAGGGTTAATTGCTTGCAAGTTGTGTTCTTTTCTTTTTTGACCACCTTATATTGATAGTTTTAGATTATACGCCGGGCTCGTGTCTTTCCATCTTTTTCATCTCTCTACATGGATGTGTTTTGTTATATTTGCTGTGGTTTAATTTTGATGGATTGTGGCTTATTTTGGGTATGAAAGTTCTCTCAGCCTGCATTTTCTATTATATATATATATATATATATATATATATATATATATATATATATATATATATATATATATTGTTGTGATTCTGTGCAATTGCGTGCTACATTTCTCATCATCTTTTCTTGTTGCAGGTCGTCTTTCCGTTATTATTTGTGTGCTGTGAACGATTTTACATTATGTAATTGAACTGTGACTTCTTGTTGGTGACTTTATCATCTGTGAACGATATTCCTGTTGTAGGGACGCTTTTGACAGACAATGACAGCCCGCATACTGCAGTAGTTTCTTGTGACATGAATTTACAAAGGTGATGCCTTATTATTATGTTATGGATTTTTATATGGAGATTATTTGCCAACGGGGTTTGTTGGAAAAGTTCCAGTTTCCTTGGCCAACTAGATTTTTGTTATTGCTGCAATCCATGGTTGTAGTGCACTGTGCACAAGAGTGTTGAGGCTCTTTGCTATTTCTGGTGTTTATCAAAGAATCACATTCTTGTATCATGTTTCTCTTGGAATTCATGTGAAGCACTATGTGAAACACTTGTTGGCACTCTTGAAGATTTCAATCTGCATTGAAAGTTAATACTTTAATTAGTAGACTATTTAATCATTTGATGGTTTATACATGTGTCTCATGATTTAGACGTGATCCCTCATCAAACGATGTTACCAATGTGGTTGCTGATGCTCATTGCAATGTTCTTTGCAATATTGTTTTTAGAATCATTCGTGCTTATAGATTCTTTTCTTTTATTATGCTTATTGTTTTTGTTGTTCAGCAATGATTGTAGTTGTGCAGAGATTGAGGATCTTGCGAGTTACAAGTGTTAAATGAGTTGTTGTTGTTAGTTAAATATTCCCCAAGGTTATCGTATAAACTGTCATCAGGTGAGTTCCATTTTAGCCTGCTGCATTAGTTATAACATGTTTCTGTTCCTTTAGACGGTTCTGCTTGCTGTCCTGATAATTCAGGGGCATTATTTCTGGACATGAGCCTGTGGGTGCAAGTGGTGAGGGGAAAACACATTAGCAGATAAGAAATGTATACTATGCTATGATTGTTTTAAGAATGTGCTTTGTATGTTTTAACTTTTGATGTAAACTAAGATTTCTGATAGGCAATGCTTACACCTGATTTGTTAAATAAGATATTTAGTTGATACAATTGGCAGAAGTCAGGTGCATCATTACCAGTATAATGGTAAAGCACGATTTAGAATCTCAAAGAATTATGTGATGGCATGTCTTAAAATGACATTTAGTTGCACATTAGAAGTTACTGCAAATTCTTTTGATGGAGATAATATATGTGAAGGAATATCAAAACTGAACCAGTAAAATTGTCTATTAAAGTCCCTATGACTCTGTGCCATTTGTTGCATGATTAATCAGAATGGCTTGGTAAAAGTTGGAATCTTCTGTTGAATCATCCAAGTTTTTTTCAGAGTTGTTGTTGGGCTTACATAATGAATATGTAAATTTCTTGATTTTTACTGTCTCTACACTTCTCTTTGTTGTGGTATATGCTAATTGCATTTACTGACATGACTATGAGTTTATTTACAAGACCATACTACCAGCATCGGACTTTTACTTCTTATTAGGAGTTCATTTTTCTTGTCTTCAAATAATTTTGACTCTTGCGTGATATTTATATTGGTTCTTGAAATGTGCATCATTCTTCGTCATGAGTTGCCATTTTGCCGTTTCTTCCACTGTCAAGTTATTGGACATATTCATTCTGGCTGTTGTGTGAGTGCGTAAACTCTATTTTGTTTAATTTCCACAAGGATTTAATCTTTAATCTTCTGTACAGGATCTTGTGATTTTGGTAAATCCCAGCACTACATGATGAATCTCAGTGCCGAGGACACAATCTTTGCCTGGAGGACAATGTTTATGGTAAGTAAATCAAGATTATTTGTTACTGATTCTCAGTATAATTAACTAAATCTGTGGTATGTGCATCAGATCAAAAGGATAAGAGGGAGTTGGTACAAAAGTGAATTAGTGTTCCATACTATTGTGTTTCTAAATATTTGATCAGGAGAAGCTCAGTTGAATTGTGGTCGTGGATGCAATATCTCAGTTTGATGTTTATATATTTCTCTTCTTGCTACTATGTTTTCTTAGGGAACTGTGATCGCAAGGTTATGATCGGATGGATGTATTACCAGCCTGATCGAATATTATATTATATAATTTATTTATTTTCTGTTATTTGTTTCATGATTTTAGTTAAGGTCAGTGTTTCCTCTGAAATTAAAGTTCAATAATGATAAATGTTACTTAAATTTGAGGGTTCCCATTTCTTTCAATTTTCTATGTATTTGATTTTCTCTCAATCCTTCGTCGTCTTTATGATTTAATATAGTGGTTGATTAAGGATTAGCCTCATGTATCAAAGTGATTAAAGAGTCGAGCTTGTGTTGGTAGACGACCTAATAATTTGTATTAATTTACAATTATAATGTTTGATTCCTCGATTAATCTCACTCGTACTGTAATAAATATTTGTCTTTTTCATTATAAAAGGATGATTAACGTTGTTAAAAAAAACAAAAAAATACAACTAAATGTGTTCATACTCAATATGTTATCAAGTAATAGCTGACATTTGTAATGTTTTCATCCCTATTTGGTCAAAACATGCTTATCTTTTTACAGTTGATTTAGCGTGAAAATTGTACTCTTTTACTATCATTAATAAATTATTACCAATTGATCTAATGAAAAAAGCTACCACGTCAGTCATGCAATTGATCTGCCATAGCATAATCTTTTAGGATCAATGTCACTGTTTGCCAATCTAAAACGAATGCTGTCCGAGGCATCCATATATATATGTATAGGAAGAGAGCAAAAACATCAGCCGTGACTCATCCTGTAGCTAGTGGAGATCATCCGCGACTTATCCTCGTCGACGCTTCCAAAAGCGAGTCGCCTCGCCCGACAAGGGCGCGCTCTCTCTCTCCCCGATGCCTTTTTATCCGACCCCTGCCAAGCTGTTGTCAGGTCGATCCATTTGTGCAATAAGCAAAGGGATAAGCTTGCAGTTTCCTGCTCCGCCTTTCGCTCCGCCTATCGTTGCCCCTTATTGCATTGTTTATAGCGTGCATGGAGATCAGCGATAAGAGAGGAAGGAAGGAGGGAGGGAGCAAGGGTGGAAAACATCTGCATGGGAGGTCTGCGGAGGCAGCAAGACGATCAAGTGCGCGGTGACAGGAGGAAGCTTCTTTTGTAAAGAGAAAAATGTAAAAGGACTGGTGAAGGAGAGAGGCCTCGTCATCTCTTATCCCATTCATGCATCTTTACACGGCAGCCAGCCATATGGTTCATAGATCTCTCCGCCTTGATCCGTTGCTTACTAGGAAAGATTGTGGGAATGCAGTATGACCCAGCCTCTTAGCTCACGTTACAAGTAGCTATAATATTAACAGTACGATTGGCCCATCACAACGAAGCCACCATGTGGTGCTCCCCGCTATCCCTGCCCACATCATTTGCTGCCATTTGCAGAACTCTCTGCAAACTTACCACTCTTTGATCTGGCATACACACCGCTCCCGCATTGGGACTGATGAGTCGACAAACCTGGACGGGATCTTCTCGTGTCGATCGAATCATGGCTTCTCGACAGCTTCTTGTTTCTCTTTCGTGTCTGCTCATCTTATGATCCAAAGTTTCTTGTGATTTGGTTTCCTCCGTTCTTCTCCGTGTTCTTTGTTTTCTTGTTCGCGTTACTCCATCCTTCCATCTTCCCTTCGTTCTGCTTTTCTCCACATGGTCGCTGGGTCCCGCATCTTCCCTCCAACCACACGATAGGTACCGGAGCGCGGACCTCAGACATAAGCGAACCTACTTGCATCTTCCCGAAAAGGGGTGGTCAAAATTGCACGTGAATAAAGTTGGACTTTCTACACCGACGAGCGTCCTCATGCCACGTGGCCCTTTCATTGGACGGTTCAGGTGCCCCCTGCTTCGCCATATACTGCCCAACCGTCACGTAAATTACAGTGAAAAATAATTATATATATATATATACATATATATATATATATACATATATATATATACATACATATATACATATACATATATATATATACATATATATATATATACAAGGTTCGTCATACCGTACCGTACCGGAGGTTCGACCCGGGCTCGGTACGGTACGGTACGGGTGTACCGACCGATACACCGAGGTGTACCGAGCGGTACACCCGATTTTACCGATTTATCCCTCCAAAATATCTGAAAATTAGAAAAAAAAAAGTTAGGATAGGGTTTTCAAGTTATAAATAAATATAGTAATAGTATAAGTTTACCAAAATCAATGTAAATTAGGTAAAAATAGTATCACATATCTTTTTCAGGCTTTGAGGTAGTCTTGTTCGAGGTTCGTATTTCAGCCCGTTATAGATTGAAATATCTACAGAAAAATCAGTTGAATTGTTAGACTATTTTATTACAATATAAACTCTAAAATTGAAATGAAATAAATTATCACATATCTAGATATACTTGATTGTTGTTCTACCACCAAAACGAATGACGGGCTTCCACGGGTGGTGGATCGGGGTCCTCGATCCGATACATATCAATATGATACGTTTGTTGGACCCAATCATGAAATTGATCCCATGACATAGTGTATTGATACACTGTGTGCCATTGATGCATCAATGTGGTGCTGATCGTAGACTGATCGTCATGAATCATATTTGTCCGAGGCAGCTCTTGAGACATATATTGGTGCTGTTCTGTATAATGTTATTGCTCAGAGAAGGATGACCACCTATCACCATATTGTTGTTGCCCATATGATTCTCCATAATACGATGAGCCTCTTTCTGTGTCTATATCATGTATGCTCTGTCGTATTTGTTCATATTCATCCACTGCCTTCCCCTTCCCCTTCCCTTTCCCCTTCCGCGCATAAACTTGACCGTTGGAACACTGTAGCACTGCTACAGTGCGGTAACGATCGATTTCGACCGTTACCGAGTGGTGTCGGACGATAACGATCGAAATTTCGATCGTTACCGCCCGATTTCGCCCCGTATCACTCGATACGAGGGTTTTTGGGGCGTACCGCCCAATAACGGGCGGTACGTGTACCAAAAATCCATCAGACCGGTACGTACCGCTCGATGCGGGTGATACGCTTCGGTATGACAGACCATGTATATAAAAGCACAACACCATTAAAAGGAGTCGTAAACGATGAGCTAACAGGAATTCAGCCTCATGTCAATCTTCCACCACAGCAAACAAAAAGAGTAGCTCAGGTCGGTCACCGTTCATTGTTCTTTCCTCATTACTGCTATTGTAAGCGTCAGCAAAGTCAACTCCTTTGGCTTCTGCCTGCCTATATAAAGCACCAGTAGAGTACATCCACCACCCCATCCCCGTTCGACTTCCTCCGGTGGCATTGTGACTGTAGCCTCCCTCTCGGAGTCGCACCTCATCCTCTCCCACCCATTCCCTTCAATTTCCCCTGTAGAACAGCTCTTCGATGTCTCATATCTTGTTGTTGCAGAACTTGATCTCCTTGTCCCTTGTGATGTGTCTCCGCTTCCTCACAGGTATACATGGTTTCAGATGATGATGTGATTGATTTAGGTGGCGTTAATGGCTGATTTGGTGCGTATGCACAGGAGAGAGCGTCACATTCGCGTTCGTGAATAGATGTGGTGACACGATTTGGCCGGGCGTGCTGTCCAATTCAGGCAGCTCGAAGCTGGAGACCACCGGCTTCGATCTCCCCGCCGGCGCTAGCCGCACCCTCCTGGCCCCTTCCGGCTGGTCCGGCCGCTTCTGGGCTCGCACGGGATGCTCGTTCGACGCGGCCGGACGCGGCTCCTGCGCCACCGGCGACTGCGGGTCCGGCCAGGTGGAGTGCAACGGCGCCGGGGCTGCTCCACCTGCGACGCTCGCGGAGTTCACGCTCGACGGAAGCGAGGGGAAGGACTTCTACGACGTGAGCCTCGTGGACGGCTACAACCTGCCGATGGTGGTGGAGGTCACCGGCGGAGACGGGTGCGCTGCCACGGGGTGCGCCGCGGACCTCAACCGCCGGTGTCCCGCGGAGCTGAAACTCGGGGACGGTGATGCCGCGGCGTGCCGCAGCGCGTGCGAGGCGTTCGGGCGGCCGGAGTTCTGCTGCAGCGGCGAGTACGACAGCCCGACCACGTGCCGGCCGTCCGTCTACTCGGCGATGTTCAAGTCCGCGTGCCCGCGCTCGTACAGCTACGCCTACGACGACGCCACCAGCACCTTCACCTGTGCCGGAGCTCAGGGATACTCCATCACCTTCTGCCCTGAATCCTCCCCAAGGTATTCATTCATTCATGTCCACCATTAACGTCTTCTCCCAAAGAGAGCAGTATAAGAACCTAAGACAACAGTAAAAGAACCAAAGAACTGAGAGAGAGAGAGAGAGAGAGAGAGAGAGAGAGAGAGAGAGAGA